GGTGCTTGTCTGAGCTGCATCCAGGTCTGTCTGGGCTTTCCGCAGATCAAACTGGGCCCTCACATGTGACTCAGCCTCTGCACCGGCGTCGTGCAATTCAGTGGCCAGAAGGTTGAGCCGTCCAGACAACAGTTGTCGTCTCTGCTCAACCTGAGCCCTGGTACGAGGGTCAGGGAGCTGCTCAACACTCTGGCCCTCAACTGGGGTCTGAACAGTCTCTTCCTGAGACATTTCAGTGTGGGGTATCTACAACACAATAAACAAAAATAAACAATAATTAATTTCGCGGCCCCACAGTTTCCAAATAGTAGATTACAGCAAGGTCAAATGACAGCAAAAATAACTGTAGAATATTTTCAATTATTTTTCTTTTTCTTTTTCTTCGTTGTTCTTATTTATCTAACTCAATGTGACGTGCTTTTGCAGGTACCGATCCGGACACAATGACCAGATACACACAGGTGAGTATGCCAGCACAGGACAAACAAACGACACAGGGATAACAAGCCAACATCAACAGCAATCAATATGCCAGCATCAATAATCCCCTGCGTCAGTCCTGATCAAAGCAACAATCACCCTGCGGAGACAGCTGGCACTACAACTATTCAATTAGTTGTACCGCCTCTGTCGTCAGAATGATCCTCCCACCCAGGCACACGCGTGCCAATCACGTAACACCCCGGTAATGCCAACTCAGCAAGCACACAACACTTGCCACGTCAGCATCAAGTAATGCCAACTCAGCAAGCACACAACACTTGCCACGTCAGCATCAAGTAATCAATCAATCAAGAGGGGGGTGCCACGTCAGCCAATCTGCCCCCCAGATACAACTTCAATCAAGCCGCGTCAACAGGGAAATGACAAGACATCAATATTCCCCGTGCCACGTCAGCATTCAAAGTCCCTGCTCAAGATCTCGCCAAGGTGACACATTGCCGCGACGTTAGCAAGATCTTCTCCTTCATCTTCAAAACATCATCATCCTCTTTTCACCGGCGCGCGCAGTCTTCAAGGGAAGATAATGCTTCTTTAATCGCGTTTCAGCATTCTCTCTCTCCCACTATTTTTCCCGCCACGTCATCAGCGCGCGTCCGGGTCTTGATCGAGCACGCGCGTCAATCAACTTAAGCGCGGCCCGATGGAACTTCGTTGTCATATGCTCTTCGTCGTCGTGATGATCCTCGTCGTCGTTGTGATCTTCGTCACAATGTTCTTCTTCAGCGTCAAGATCACGTTCGTGATCGTGTCTTCCGTGATCACGTTCATGATTGTGGTCGTGTTCGTGAAGATCATCCACTTGATCACGTTCTTCGTGATCGTGGTCGCGGTCGACGTCGTGATGATCAAGGTCATGATCACCTTCGTGATCGTGATGATCCTCCTCGTGATCGTGCTTATGCACGATGGTCGTCAAAATCGTCGTCGTATATCGCCACGGCAGCGCGCGCACGTGCGCACGCGGTGCACCTTCTCGCAGCGATACGGAAGAACTGCTCCGATACCAAACTGCAATGAACCCAGACGAGATAACACACATTAGACATGCAGATACTGTTCACAGCAACGCACGAGCATCAGCGCTCGTGCGGTACAAGTCCCGTGGCTCAATGACAAGGCAACTCGAGTAATCCAATCTTGTTGATGAATAATGTCGAACAGATCTGTTCTCGTAACCGAGTATATACATACATAGACAAGAAAGAGAGAGGGGGGGAGTTAGAAGAAGAAGAAGAAGAAGCCCACTTCTTCTTCAGGCCAAACAG